ATGTAGAGTAGAATTTGCGTCTCGAGAGTAGGATTTTCATTTTGGATTTTCATTGGTAGTCGTTCAGAATCCTACTTGCCCTTGTTTTGATTACTTTTTTACGAACTTGCTCTAGAATCCTACTCCATCTTGTTTTGTTAAAATTTTTTATGTTCTTGTTTGTGTTGATTTTTTTAATAATATTTGTAATAATATTTCTTCAGATAGTGTCCATTGCCATTCTGGTGAATAGTTAATTCTATACTGATCAATGTTTAGTGAAAGCTGCTATAATAATATCTATTAGCTGTGCTACCCACCTAATTCCACTTTGAGCCTATCATCATTTCCAATTTCTGATTTTATTTGCCGTCATTTTTAATTCTCCTTTTTTTATTGTTGATTATTCATTTATTTATGTATAATGATATTTATTTATATATTATATGCATATCTTAAAATATATTCATTCATTTATTCATTTTTCCCTTTTCCTTTCTTTTTTGATTTTCTGGGTGCCAGCAGATCTTGCTGGTAGTCCTTCAGGATTCTTCCTCTGCTCTCTCTGTACTATGGCAAACTACTTACTTTATGCATCTTGTAAAATTATAATTAAATTAAATAGTAGTCATGACATGAGTCCTTGTTCAAGAAGCAGTGAGAGTATCCATCTTCCTTGCAATCCTGTGTTGTGTTGTTCCTGTTGTCAAGCTCATGATCATTGTTTAACATTATTGTTTGTAATTTTTTTAATACAATTTATTTTAATAAAACAATGATATCTAAGATTAAATAACTTCTCTTAGCTAGAACTGGAAGCCTGGAACCCCCACTAAGTAAGTATTGCATTTGATGCAAGCGTAGCTAGGTAAAAAAATTTGCCAGTTCTGAGATCTCTGAGCATGCGCGACCACACCCAAATTTTGGAGCACATGCTTCTTTAATTAACAAAATGGCGGAATGAGGTAAGTTTGTCTGACCCTACAGTCATAGTGTCACTTCTTCCTTTCTTGGAGAATGAGGTGATGGGACATGGACCTGCGCATAGACAGTTGGAGTAGAATGGTGTAAGAATTATCCTTCTAGCACCAGCCAATATTGAGATACACATGGACAACTGGATTGACAGGAGATGATGAAGATGAAAAAAGTGGACTGAACAAAAATGGTCGTTTTGCCGATTATTGACTTTCCTCTTAGACAAGGTGTAGAGCCACGCTAGTGGTACCAATAGAGTCCTCTGATCAAGATAAGGTCCTCTAAGAAGTCTGGTAAGCCGGGGAGCTCGTTTTCCCGGACGGATAGCAAGGCTGCAAAAGTCGTGGCAGCCATATTGTTTAGGGTGAATCCTACTTAGTAACGCTACCGTGTTACTAATTATGAAGAATAAAACCTCCTTTTTGGGCCAGGATTAATTATACTAAGCATACTGAATTTCCTAGAATTTAATTACTTACAATTTGTGTTAGATGATGCATGAAAACCACTAAATTAGGAATACCAGTAAACATTAGTCCAGTGTATTGTAGATAGTATAATGTGTTATCATAACAATGTCAGTAATGGGACCCTCATCTAGTAGTGTAGTAGTTTGTATCTCTTCCACTGGGTATTTATGTAATATTGTCACTAGGTGTTCCTCCTCCTACTACCCTAGTCCTAGTCCTACTTATGTGTCCAGTCATAGATACTCAATGATTCAATGTATACTAATACACCAGACAGACTCTTTGTAGAGGGAGGGACACTCTCTTTCCTTATAAGGATATACATGTACATGTACTGTATTGCAGGATTTATTGGTGAGGGATTAAATTTGTCAAGTCTTTAAATTACAAGAATACTCCAAACTGAAACTCACAAATTATTGCCAATTATTAGCTGCCACGTGTTAGGAGTTACAAAATTTTATTGGCCAACCTATCAATTTAGACAATTTCTTGAAAATTTCTCACCGTCAGTAAATACTCTCATATGTTATACAAGTACATGTACATGTAAATGAATGGCTCAGTTGTTTGTGTATTTTCCCACTAAAAGTTGTTTTTATATGTACATGTATTGTTTATGTGTTGTTTATGGTCGGTTATTGTCACTGGTTACATATTCTGTGAATTTTGTGTTTGAATGAGATTATGTGATAATGTGATAATGAGACATAGGAGTGATTAATATAATAACTGTTAATAATACACTCATTCACTTGTTAATACTGTAGGACTGGCAGTTGTATTATGCTGCTCAAGATGGAAATATTGAAGAAATGAGTTCTGCCCTCTCTAATGGGGCAGATATCAATTTTCAGAGTCCCAGTGAAGTAAGTGTATGATGTAGTGACTAGTGTATTAGTATGACTTGTACAGGCCCGTAGTCACCGGTACGGTTGGTCCTGTTTCAACCCTACCACTTTTCAAGAGTGAAAACGCCCACTTATTAGTATTACAGCAATAATAATGTTAATTACTATCCGTAAAATGATGAAATAAAAAGGGTCATTAGTCTAGGAGTGGCAAAAGATAAGATTCCTAGCCTTCCAGTCTTCCAGAAGAACCTAGTCTCGTGTAGCCAGACTAAGAAGAACCCCATCATGGCCAGACTCTAATTTACCGGATAAGTTAATTAATAATAGGTTAATTAATGATGATGAATATAATTAAAAGCGTAAAAATTTTCGGTGCGCTTCGTGCGCCAAGAAGTCAGCTTGACCACATTCAATCTGGTGGCTACGGCCCTGTTGTATAATGTAAAAGTACCTGCAGTTTAGTTATAAATCAGTTTATTATATTAATATTGTGTAATTACCGTATTTCCTCATGGAAGCACCTAGGCATTTATTCTTATAGAGACCCATTTGCTGGGTGTTTAAATGAAGTAGGTGTTTATATGAGGATAGACATTTAAATTCATTGCCGAGGAGTCTTCTTCTATGAGCTTCCTTCTCAGTTACAACTGCTATGTTGCCTGTAGTGTGTGCCAGTAACCACATGGGCAAAGTGGGTGTGGCATAGGCATCTAAAGAAGCATGGGCATTTATTGTCAATGTTTTATGCTGTCTCTAGGCGTTTATACAGGTACGGGCATTTATTGGGAATAGGTGTTTCCATGAGGAAATACGGTATGTTCCTCAAACACAGTATCCTATTGATGACACTCATAGTCCCTTCTTTCTGGTGGTGTGTGTTTATTGAAGGATCAGTCCTAACTCCTTATTATCTTTATTGCATTTTATGAGGAAATAATGTACCATACATTATTGGCCTCGCCTACGCGAGGTATAGGTAGTTGTTGTGTGTGTCTGTCATTCATTCATTCATTCATTCATTCTGTACAACTGAAATTTGTTTTTAATAAACAATAACTTTAGCACAGCGTGTTCTAAGCTCCTAGATCTTTCTTTTTGACGTGGAAAAGTCTTTCTTAATTGTTTTGTGTTGCTCAAATACAAGTGCTAGGTACAGAAGCTTCAAAGTAAGAAAATCGAGTAGTTGGGCCAAGTTCCGTTGTGTTGGCACTTTAGAGATAGCTGGTAGCATTTTTCAGTAGATTAGAACATGGCCTTCAAAAATTATGAACAGATTTCTCTAAATCTTACTTGATGAAGATTTATACTTACTTGAAATTGTTGAGGTCACTCGTTTGTGCAGCGCTAGAGCAACAACTTGCTGGGTTATAGGTACTAAAGTACCTATACTATCTCAAATATACAAAGGCAGCAACTTTTTTTGTCAGCAAGTTTATCATATATTGCTGATTAGTAAAGAAAAAGTGAAGCTTCTTTCTCACATGGTCTTCTTGCTGCCACTCATGGAATGCCACACCTTTCAATCTACATGCATGGGAGGGGCTGGAGCTGCTTGCATGTATGTGCTGCAGTGCTGCTACTTCTGCAGGTATTCAAGAGCAAGTGCAACTGTAGGAAGCTAGTGTTGAGCAGACTCTCTTCATGCTGATAATCAAACAGTTATTGAAGTGCAGGCATGCACCATAGCAGCTATAGGGGCGAGGCCATGCACCGTAGGTGTCTCGTTCATCTATTTTTCCCTTCTCTTTTGTTTTCTGTTTTTTTTTGGGTGCCAGCAGTTCTTGCTGGTAGCCCTTCTGTTCAGAATGCTTCCTCTGCTCTCTCTCTCTCTCTCTGCTGATTTTAATAAACTGCTTACTCTATTTTGTTTAACGCATTTTATAAAATTATAATTAAATTAAATTAAATAGCAGTCTGATGCGAGTCCTTGTTCAAGAAGCAGTGTCAGTATCCCATCTTCCTTGCAATCCTGTCCTGTGTTGTTCCTGTTGTCAAGTTCAAGCATGTACCATATCTATGCTTTTGCTTAACATAATTATTGTTTTTAATTTTTTAATACAATTTATTAATCATTTATTTTAATAAAACAATGATAAATACCTTGTCTTAGCTAGAACTGGAAGCCTAGAACCTCCACTAAGTATTGCAGTTGACCCAAGCATAGCTAGATTTAAAAAATTGCTTGCTTTTCCCAGTTCTGGGATCTGAGCATGCGCGACCACACCCAAATTTTGGAGCACATGACAAGCTTCTTTAATTAACAAAATGGCGGCATGCAGCTAAGATGGCTCGATCCAGCAGTCACAGTATCACTTTTTCCTTCCTTGAAGAATGATCTGATGGGACATGGACCTGCGCATAGACTGTTGGAGTAGATTGGTGTAAGAATTATCCTTGTAGCACCAACTGATACTGAGATACGCACCGACAACTGGATTGACAGGACTAACTTTCTTGATGATGATGATGATGAAGATGAAAAAAGGTGGCTGAACAAAACGGCCGGTTCGCCGATTTTTGAATTTTCTCTTATACAAGGTCTAGAGCCACGCTAGTGGTACCAATGGAGTCCTCTGGTCAAGATAAGGTCCTCTAAGAAGTCTGGTAAGCATAGGAGCTCGTTTTCCCGGTATAGCAAGGCTGCAAAAGTCGTGGCAGCCATTTTGTTTGGGGGTGAATCCTACTTAGTAACGCTACCGCGTTACTAATAATAGTACAGTGTCATCAGCCGAATTTTGGGAAAATGACTAGGAGAGGATTCTCCATTTTAATAATTTTTTCCTGATACATATACATGTTTTTATGTTGCGTGCAAAGTTTTAGCTGGTTCTGATCAAAATTAGATTTTTAAGGAATTTTCAAAGTTGCTAAAAAATTGGGGAAAAGTCCCTGTACTATAGTACAGGGTCATCAGCCAAACTTTGGCAAAAATGACTAGGAAAGAATTTGCCATTTTTATAATTTTTTCTGATACGTATACATATACTTATGTTGCGTAGAAAGTTTTAGCTGATTTCGATTAAAATTGGATTTTTTACA